AAGGCTGAGTACATTAGGGTGGTGCTCAGAGCGGCAGTCTTACCAGCGCCTCTCATTCTGCTCAGCTGCTTACAGACGAGGCGGGTGGAAGGAGAGAGGTTGATGTCACGTTTTTCGGAATGAATTTCTTGTTCAAGGCACAGACTGCTGTTTTTCTTTCTGGGAATATCACTATTACAAGCCAGAACATACATCCATTTGTTCAGCAAGTATTACTGAACACCTGTGTGTAAGTCCCAGGTGTAGGGGTCTCAGAAGCATTCCTGAATGAAGACGGGCACATCACAAAGAGAAATGAAACATGAAAATTCTCAGGAAACAATATACAAACAAGTACAGAACACAAATAGTAGAGAGGATGCAGAGTTGAGGAGTGATCGTGTTGGAAGGGTGTGGGGGGCCATTATTTACCTCACGTTTCTGAAACACTCTAACCCAGGGTTTCTCACATCGGCACTACTAACACTTGGAGCTGGAGGATTCTTTGTTAGGGGCTATCCTGTGTGTTGTAGGATATTTAGCCCCTGTACTCTACCCCTAGATGACATTAACAACCTCCTCCCCTAGCTGTGACAACTAAAAATGTGTCCAGACATTTCCACATGTCCCCTGTGGAGCAGAATCGCCTTCAGTTGAGAACTACTGCTCTAACCCATTTTGTCTCTCCTCCTAGCTTTTTTACTTGTGTGCAGAAGTTTATCAGCAGACAAACCCCAAAGATTCCCGAAGCTTGGGGAAAGACATCTGGAATATTTTCCTAGAGAAAAATGCGGTAAGGCAGTAGTAGATTGGATCGTAATTTTATTATACTCTTTGACCACTAAGAGGCAGAGGAAAAACTAAGCAAAATGTTCAGGCCGAGTGTAAACAGCTTCTTAAAGAGAAGTCTAGGTTGGGAGATTGGAATTACTAGATTCTGTTCCCAGCTCTGCTTTCCAAAGATTGATCGCCTCTCTATGCCTGTTATGTTCCATATCTGACAAAGGTAGAATACACATTGTGTCTCCCAAAAATGTTGGGAGAAACAAAGAGATCTTACCAAATTGGAATTACTCTCCCCTGAATCACTGCCCTGGTTTCCTCCCACCCTCCTTGCCTTGCCCATCTCTGGGATGAAGACACCAAGGCCCAGAGACATCAGGTGATCTAGATCAGTGTGCTGAGAGGAGAACCCAGGTTTCTGAAGCTCAGCGTGACTCGCTATTACTGCACGAAGACAGGCCTGGGGGCCGGGGGGACCCTGTATCTCTGGGCAGATGAGCACTTCGTGAGTCTGGACACTGTTTCCAAGGGACACGTCAGGGTCCTGCTGGCGCAGGCAGCACCTTTGCCTACAGACAGCAGTTCCCGTCTTAGACTTTCTAATCTGACCAGCTAAACTAATTCCTAGAAGCAGTAAAGTACTAAGGCTAGTGCGGTTGGGAAGGAAACCACTTTTTCCTCAGGATTTTATATTTGCCCCTTACATGGGTCATGCATTGCTCCCTTTTGGTTACTTTACAACCACCCCAGTATCCAGCTGTCTGGTCCTTTCAG